GTGCACACCCGGGTGTGGGATCCGGGTGTGCACACATCTTTATCCTTTATGTTATTGAATTAAAGTTTTTACAAATTCCATATTAAAAAATTTTGCAAGCCTATGCTATTACTAACATTTTCCCTCTCCATTTATGGCACTTACAGCTCAAATATATTTCAATTGGTAAATTTCATGCTCTTAACTCCCGTGATTTATTAGGATTTGTTTCGAATGAATCCTTACATTTTGTGTCATATTAATATACAAAACAACCAGTTTTATCATTTTCAAGTAGTCATTCTGTTTCTGTTGCTCCTTTTGATCTAGTGTATTTTGATGTTTGGGTTTCATCTCCTACACTCATCAGAAAGGTTCCAAGTATTTTGTATTATTTATTGATGATCATACTTGTTTTACCTGAATATATTTTATAAAAAATTACTTTGAATTACCACAACTCTATATTAATTTTGCTATCATAATCAAAACTTTTTCCAACTCAAGTTGGGGTTTCCTCGCTACTACCTTAAATTTGCGAGAGATGTTAGAATATTAGCATTTATTTTATAATATTAGTATTTATATTAAAATATTATGTTCACATTATAATTAATTATATATATTTAAACTAATTAATTTTATATTTAAAAATATTTTATTATATAAATCTATATATAAAATCTTTATACATATAATAAAAATAAAAATAAATAAAATTTTCTTCAAATATATTTCCTTCTTTTTTGTCTCTAACCCATCTTGTATTTTATTATCCAATAACAGTCTCCTCGTTTGCAATACTTCACGTGATGGGTGGAGTGGCAGCACTCTCTCCAAAAATTGGGAACACTGCTAGGGCCTGCGGATTTAGGAATTCAACCGCAGCTCCCTATTCCTCCTACTCCCTCTCGGCATAGAGACAATGAATCTTCTTAATTATATAAAAAAAAAAAAAAATGTTTACAGCAAGAACCACAAGTAAGGCCTAGCATGAATTTGAGGTGCTTACAATATGACACTGACAGCTCATGATATGCTCCGAATTAATTTGATTTTTATTGTCCACATACATATTTTTGAGAAGGTTTTCGATGGGTGTAACTTTATTTTTTTTTATAATTAATATAAAAATGTAAAATTTAATTTTAATTTAATTAATTATATAATTAATTAAAAAGTTTTTTTAATTTATACTTTAAGGGCATATATTAAAGAAGTATTCATTATATTATTTTATTATTAATTTACATAAAAAATTATAAAAATAAAATTTATTTTTAACTTTAATATTACATGAATGATTTAATTAAACAATTAATAAAACTTAAGTAAATTTTTTAAATCAAATTAATGATAAAATGATGCTATAATTAAATTCTTTTTTTAAATATGCATAGAAGACGCCATAACTGGTCAATTTAGAATTATGCAGAATGCAATA